GGGGCCCTGAGCAACAACAAGCCTTTGAGCAAATTAGATGCGAGATAGTTAATGCAGTGGCCCTTGGATCAGTTCAGATAGGGCAGATGTAAAAAATGTATTGTACACCGCAGCCAGGGAGGATGGTCCTATGTGGAGCCTCTGGCAGAAAGCTCCATGGGAGACTCGAGGTCGACCCCGTGGCTTTTGGAGTTGGGGATGCAGAGGTTCAAAGCTAGCAAGATTCACAAGTGAATGAGCAGTTAGACGTCTTAACCTTGGCTACATTACTTCAATTTGGAAAATTAAAATAATGTTTTAATCTCTTAATATTACAAGCCTTTATCAGCGTGCCACTGTTACAGAATGTTAGAAGTTAAATTATTATATTTTCTAGCTAATTTACCTCCCAAATTCAGATGATGCACCCATGAGGCTGTTGAATTTGAATCATTTGTCTTAGCAGAGTTTTTCGTTGTGCTCCTCTCTTCACCTTCTGCTTCTTTATCTGCATCCACAAATTTTTCCTCATCCTCTTCAGGCTCTTCTTGATCCTTAAAGCACTCTTCATCATCTGACTCCTAAACAACAGCAAATGTTAGCAAACAGCTTTTATTTTCCGCTTCTGTTCTGATTTATTAGAAACATGCACCTGTAATTCTGAAGAAGCTTCTTACAAAACTACAAACAAATGATGGCCGATGTTTAAGCAATACAAATTTCTGGCCTTGATACAGGACTTAAAATTGATGTAAACTTTACAGCTTACATCACACACGTGTAATGGTCCCTCACTGCCTAACAGAGGAGAAAAAAAAAACCAGTCCTGCCTAACACTAGTTCAGAGACAGCAGACAGAAGAAACAAACAGGCCATGTCTTGACAAAGCTTTTGGGTGAAGAATGCTCACCTCCTGATTTACACAGCATTTAGCAAATTAGTCCTCTCTCCATGAATGAAGTCCATAAACCCACCGGCATTCTTAAATCACCTTCATCTATGCAGATTTTTAACGTAGTTATAATTGTTCAAGGCCTTTCTCCCATGACATAACATACCAGCAAACTCTCAAATCACTATTAAGCAGGTTAGAGAAAGGTGCTTAGAAAAACAGCTCTTATTGAAAAAACAATGAGATAATGAAATCATCTTATACCACATGATCCTGCAACTGGACCCTTAACTCCGGTTTTACTTTCAGAAGCTCAGACAGAAGGTACAGGGTTCCACAAATGAAGGGTGGCATTTGTCCACAAGTGACTTGAAGTAACCTCTTCACAAAGGCCTTCACCCGTCGTAACACTACATCTGCCTTCAGGGATTTATAGATAAGATTAAGAAACATGGATGGCTTTGACCACGTTGCTAAAGCAGGATCTAGCAGCTTCCTGTAGAACACACAGGAGAAAATATTGTCACAATGCACATAGGAGAATAATTGCTAGTAACAACAATCATCTACATTTTTCAGAGTGCCACGTAAAAGACCAGTGACAGCTTGCTCCCCAACACTCAAAATCATGATCAACCCTGAACTGTCAACAGCTGTGTACTTCTAGATATATATATGGGAATCTGAAGGTTAAAAAAACTTGTATCAGTAAAGAAAAAAAGTAAGAAAACATAAAGAAACAGAGTTCAACTAAAACTAGTTTCAAAACCTGAGCTACTCAAAGTAATAAATCTGATTTACTTAGATGTTACACAAAACAGAAAGAAAATAGGTAGCAAGCACCATGCTTCAAATCAAACCTAACATACATATTAGCAAGTTAATTTTCTACTCCATGTTTTTTCCAGGCTGCCCAGCACAGTAAGGCTTTTAAATGCATTGCACATTCTGGGGGAACTCGAGTTTCCCTTTATAAAAAAATGGGCAATTTCTCTCTGGTCAACTAAACAGCAGCCTGCAAGGACCTTACAAAGAGTCCAAATAATCAGTTGGGGCAAAAGAAGAGGTAATTTTTACAACACAAGGCTTTCCAACTACACAAATTAAATGATATAAAGAAAGCAAACCGTATCCCGGGCTGCATCAAAAGGAGTGTGACCAGCAGGTTGAAGGAGGTGATCCTGCCCCTTTATTCTGCTCTCGTGAGACCTCACTTGGAGTATTGTGCGCAGTTCTGGTGTCCTCAACATAAAAAGGACATGGAACTGTTGGAACAAGTCCAGAGGAGGGCCACAAGGATGATCAGGGGACTGGAGCACCTCCCATATGAAGATCGGCTGAGAAAGTTGGGACTGTTCAGCCTGGAGAAGAGAAGGCTGCGTGGAGACCTCATAGCAGCCTTCCAGTATCTGAAGGGGGCCTATAAGGATGCTGGGGACAGACTCTTCATTAGGGACTGTAGTGATAGGACAAGGGGTAATGGGTTAAAACTTAAACAAGGGAAGTTTAGATTGGATATAAAGAGGAAATTCTTTCCTGTGAGGGTGGTGAGGCACTGGAATGGGTTGTCCAGGGAGGTTGTGAATGCTCCATCCCTGGCAGTGTTCAAGGCCAGGTTGGATGAGGCCTTGGGTAATATGGTTTAGAGCGAGGTGTCCCTGCCCATGGCAGGGGGGTTGGAACTTGATGATCTTGAGGTCCTTTCCGACCCTAACTATTCTATGATTCTATTAATATGTTAAAGTAGTATTCACCCTTCCCCATATAAAAAAAAAAGGAAACAGAAACAATATTTTAGGCTATCACATGACTAAATCACAGTATCAGTAAAAATTATTTCAGAAGTCACCACTAAGTTTCAAATAACATCTGGAATTACAACATGCCACCAGGAAACAGCTGCAATTGATGCAATGTGTATGGTGTGTTCTCAGGACCTATCATTACCATTTATTTTATCCTTACATTAAATCAACCACATGCACTTTTTTCTAACTCACACAAACCACCAGAAATTTTTAGCTAGTGAGACACAGAACTCACAAAACCCTAAAAGCAAAACAAGTGTTTCTACAACTTGACATCAATGATGACTACTTCATAAAATGAAATTTCTATACAAAGGCCAAACCTGTCACTTACTTGTACAGTGCTGCATAGTACCTATCTGACACAGTCTGCTGAGAGTCCATCACCTGGAACAGTAACATCAGGGCCTGGATGCTGGTACTGAAATTCACAAGGTGTAGAACTTTAAACAACGTGTCCATTTGCTCTTTCACCTTCTCATCACCAGTCTCAGCATACGGGTAAGCTCTGTTCACTCCGCAGAGAAGAGCACTGAGCATTTTGGATTCAACATCTTTTTTCTTAATGCAGTTCCGAAAAAAGCCGAAATACAAAGTTATGAGCTTGTTGGCCAGGGCACTTTCTTCGTGACTGAGGACTATCTGATTTAGAAAGCAGAGGGCGTAATACTGAGTTTTCACGTTAATGTTTGACCGGTACAAAAGCCTCTCCACCTCACTGCACACTACTCCCTTCATATTTGGATGCTTGTGAAGTAATGTCTCTAAAAGGTAAGAGGCTTTGGTGGCAACTTTGTTCTGAGGGTCTCCCAGTTTATTTACCAGTTGAACAAGCAGAGCTTTCTCCTGCTCAGGCTTGTTACAGAGAAGCTCATGGGCAACTGCCAGTGCTCGGGATTTCACTGCTGTCAGAGAATCATGACTGAGTGTTTCTAACGCTTGCACAAACTCTGCTACCTGCAGTTTCAGATGATGCTCAAAGTACCACAGTATCAACCGCCTGTCCCTGGAATCCCTGTTGCCACTCGACAGCTTCTCTATGTTGTTAAAAGGTCGCTGTGAGAAAGACCATAATTTTCGATTGTCTGGCAAGAGGTCTGAAAGGAGAAGCTCCTTGAAAGTATCCAAAGCCATGAGGCTCTGATGCCTGCTGCCCTTCTTCTTTATGAGGCTTACCAAGTTCTCAACAAACTGGATACTGTGGACAGCACTGTCCTGAATGAGCAGGGTCATCGCTGCCATCCTATCAGCCAAGGTACCTGATGACACAACAGTCTTCATCCAGGCTGAGGAGGCCCTCTTCTGATACTCTGTTTTATTCTTATACAGGTCCGTCTCATGTTCGTACAGCTTTTGAGCCAAGGCCTTATACTTGGAGAGAAGTGTCTGATTTTGTGGCTCTGGAGAGAACTCACTGGTGTATTCCTGATCATACCATTTGCCCCCTGGTTTGATCAGTATCCCTTGCCTAGCATGAAATTCAAAATCTTCCAGCCTCTCTTTCTTTGCTGAAAGGTGCTGACCCTGCTCACCAGAAAAAGCAGCCTGCTTCTTCTTGCTGTCTTTCATGCTGCTTGCCTTTTCCTTGGCATTTTTATCTTTTTTCTCTTCTAACGAAGGAAGATTAGTTTCTTTCTTGCTCTTCTCTTTCTTTGGGGGTTTCTCTTTCTCCTGGCTGCCGTTGCCGCTGTCATCTTCCTCCACCACCAGGCAGCTTTTCGCGTACTTGCTGATTCCCAGTGAGTTGACAAACGCCTCCAGCTCTCCTTCCTTTAGGTCGTCGATCGCGTCCTTCCTGCCGCCGTCCACCATCTCCTCCGCCTCGTCCACGGCGCACAGCATCACGTAGTCTTGCTGCGGGCGGCAGCACATGGCAGTGACATGGGGGGACGCTCCCCACAGTCGTACCCACCACCACCCCCGCCCCATTGTCACCCCAAACAGGCCTGTCCCGGGTGTGTGGGGGCCCACCAGCCACGTGCTCCCGCTCCCTCCCGCCACCCCACCTCCCTTACCTTGGTGCCGCCGAGGCGCAGCACCTCGTCCAGCGTGAACCCTTCTCCATCTTCTCCTGTTTCTTCTCCTTCATCTCCCGCCTCGTCGCCGCTGTCGTCGCCCGCCTCCTTCGGGCCCCTCACGCCGAAGTCCCACAAAGCCGCCATTGCTGCCCGGCGGAAGCACCTGCGGCACACTTCCTGCCGAGGGCCACCACGGGAGCACGGGTCCTGTAAGGGGTGTGTGTGGCGCGGGAGCAGCTCTCCAGAGGAGGAGGGGAACGAGAACAAGCTGGGGCGGAGAGGGGGAATGGATGTCTCAGACAAACTGAGCCGGATCTTGTCTTTCACTCGCCCCAGCTGCGCTTAGCCCGCGGCCCGTTCTCACCCAGGCGGTGGTATGCGGCGCGCCTAGCAAGCAGCCAGGACCCGGGAAGGGGCAGCAAGCGGCTGCAGCGCGCCCTGGTCGCCGCCGGCGCTGCCATGGTCCTGCTGCCCGCACGCCGCGCTCTTTTCGCCGCCGGCCGCCGCTGGCTCCCTCCTCACTATGGTAACCGCCGCCTTTCCTCCCTTCTCCTCCCCGGAGCCGGGAGCGCCCCGTTGAGCCGTCCTCTGCTCTCCCCACAGCTCCGGCGGCGGCGCGGCCCTCCTCGGGCGCTGGGGGCGAGCCCGAGAGCGAGGGGCCCGGCCGGGACACGGCGCTGCTGCGGCACCTGCTCCTGAAGCTGCGGGCCACCGGGCCCGTGACAGTGGCCGAGTACATGAGGGAGGCGCTCACCAACCCCGGACAGGTGCGGGCGGGGATGGGTCGGGGGCTCCGCGCCTCCGGGGCTGCCGTGCCGCTCACCGTGCCCCCGGCCCCTCTCTATCTGCTCCCTGCAGGGCTATTACACACGCCGCGGCGGCATCGGCGAGAGCGGGGACTTCATCACCTCACCTGAACTAACTCAGGTGTTTGGAGAGGTAACGCGCAGCGCCTGACGCATGGAGTAACTCGCTTTCACTCCTGAGCTGCGCGGGGCCAGCTGTGGTTTCCAGGCCTGCGTCTGGGTGTGTTACCAATGTCAGAATACTTGAGTAGCAATTATGAGCTTCCAGTTATTGTCCAGGAGAAAAACGGGGTTTGGAGGAGCGAGGGTAGTTTCTGTAAGATCGGGTGAGGCCTTTCATGTGTTACAGTCAGGGATGCCATCTGTGCTTGGCAGCACTTGTTTTCATATTAAAGAGAGTTAACAGTAGTTTCCCAATGTGAAAACTCAAGAATTATTTTCAGGCTTTGGTGTGGTTTGTGTGTCACTCCCAGCAGTGGAGACTGGCTAAACACTGTGCTTCCTTTTGGTCAAATACATGGTCATGAGGAGCAGTTGTTCAGGGGCAGCTGGGCAGTGACCTGCATTTGAGCCTGGAATAGAAGTTCTTGCTACAGCCAAGAAAGTTTACTGATGGAGAGTTGCTTCTCCTGGTCTGACAGCAGCCACTCATTCATATTTAAAGAGATGGGGGGAAGTTACATATCATAATGATTTTTCTAAACTTTAAAATATGGTGAGAGAATACTGCCATAGTATCTTAGCTATTGCACTTGCCACCAAGCCTTGGAGTGATTACTGTAACTCTTTGTGCTGTTTCTCTCTCAGTTGATAGGAATATGGTTTGTCAGTGAATGGATAGCCACAGGCAAGCCAAAAGCATTCCAGCTGGTGGAGCTGGGCCCCGGGAGGGGCACTCTCACTGATGACATGTTACGGGTAGGTGAAAACTGTTACTAATATTCTTTATTCCTGGTTTTATTCCATGGCTGCTCTGAAATCTGAAGGAATGATGTTTTGCTGTCAGGGTTTAACTTTTCCCTGTAACCAAATAATTTCACTCGGGAGATTTGCAGTTTAGATTCTAATTGAAATACGTGCATATTTCAGAGACCAGTTGTCTGAGTTGAAAGCAGAATACAGGCCAGCATGTACACATTGCACAGACACACATACAGGCTTTCAGAAAGGGAAGGGCAGGAGTATGCCATTACAAATTATTTGTGCATAGGAAAGCATTGTCCAAACTGGAAACCATTTAGGAGGGTGCTGCTGTGTGTAACTGGGAAGGATGCCTCAGTGCAAGTAATAGGAGGAAGAGCGTGAGGACAATCATACAGAAGTTGAGTTGTGCCAGTTTCTCTGGGGATTTCAGGGGCACATTCCTTCTGAGTTAGAATCAGAATCACACAGTAGTTAGGGTTGGAAAGGACCTTAAGATCATCTAGTTCCAACCCCCCTGCTATGGGCAGGGACACCTCACACTAAACCATGTCACCCAAGCCTCTGTCCAACCTGGCCTTGAACATCACCAGGGATGGAGCATTCACAACCTCCCTGGGCAATCCATTCCAGTGCCTCACCACCCTTACAGGAAATAACTTATATCCAATTCCTTATATCCAATCTAAACTTCCCCTGTTTAAGTTTTTACCCATTACCACTTGTCCTATCACTACAGTCCCTAGTGAAGAGTGAAAAGTTAACCCTTTGTTCAGTCATGCTTGTATGGCTGTCACTTAAAATACTACTGATTTTAAAACAGATTGCTGGTGGGATTTAGAACCTCAGAGGTACTTTTATTCTATTACGTATGTTAATGAAAAACTCTAATAAGCAAAATGAAATGTAGGATATTGAACATTTTTTGTTCATGGTCCTTGGGATAACAGAACCATTCTCCTAATGCTAAACTGTCTGCAGGTTTTACTAAACTGCAGGCTATTACTAAGTTGCTAAATTAGGGTTTCATGTTGTTGTCCTTACAGCTGTGTAATGCATGCTGTATTTTGCCAAATTTGTTAAAAGCATCATAGTTTTTATCAAAGTTGATGAAGAAATTCCCACTTTCTTCCGGAAAATCAAAGTGCAGACTCTTTCACTGAAATTACTTTGTCAAATGCAAGCCAAATAAATCTTTTCTCTTACATAGAAATAGTGAGATTAAAAGTTAATTCTTAAACCTTTAACATATGCAGCATGTGACTGTGCCTAATAGAATTCATCTGCCTTTATAGGTCTTCAAACAGCTTGCCTCTTTACTTAGTAAATGTGATGTCTCTATTCATCTGGTAGAAGTGAGTCCCAAACTCAGCGAGATCCAAGCACTGCGGCTGACAGGAGGGAAGGTGCAGTCAAACCCTGAGGACAATTCTGCCTACATGAAAGGCATTAGCAAGACTGGAATTCCCATTTCCTGGTACAGAGACATTCAGGATGTGCCCCCAGGTAAGGAACTTGAATTATCTCGCTACAGGGATGACATCCTTCCTCCATTTGCAGCTTTTGATAATGAGGACATCTCTTCTAACCTTCACAATGGATAGAAAAGTAGTTAGTATATGTATTTCTTCATGTATGCGTCTGAGGCAGGATATTAACCCATTTTCATGACAATTCTGACTACCTGCATTTTGGGATAGTTACCCAATTGCACATATTCTGACTTTTTCTTCTCATGGGAAACCATTTGCTGGCTTTATCTGAGCCTCCTTTTGTGAGACACTGATCTAACATTCACGGACTGGAAGCTAAAGCCAGCTACAGAAATGCTGTCTTTGATGTATCTAAGCAGGAAGTAATGATAGATATTTCACAACCATATTAACTAGCTTAATTCATTAGAAGTCATACAAGCATTTACATTTTCAACGGGAAGCTGCTATGGAACCATTAGTAATTTAACACATTCTCTTTTTACCTTCCCACAGGTTACAGCTTTTACCTTGCACATGAGTTTTTTGATGCTCTGCCAATACATAAGTTTCAGGTACAGCAAGATGACTGTTGTAATTGGGACCATCTACTTAAATGCCTTCTCTCTTTGAGGAAGAGTAGAATTAGGGTGCCAAACTAGACAGGTGTTGTCTCTGATGTTGAAATGTTCTTCCTGACTGAATTTGGACAAAAAAGGCTTAATTCAGTTGATAATTGTAAAATTAATAACTGTTCTTGAATGGAAATTTTGTAGAAAACCTTTACTCTGAGAGAAGTCTCTAGCTTTTTAATTCCCATGTTATTTTATCTGTGACTGCTAAGAAAGCCTGAAGGGCTTCCATTTGAATGGTAATGACAGTGGCAAAATAGAGGCTAGTTAGGATTCAGAAGTGTCTTTCAACTTCAGTTTAATTCATTAAAACCACTGGTAGAATCAAATATTTTGGTTAGTTAAATATTGTATTGTCAATAGAAAAGGATATTTTTTTTTAACAGCATCATTAATTCTTTTGAATAAAATTAAACCTGTATTTGTTGACTCTGCAGCTGAGTCTTCTCTGGAAGAACAAGCTTCTTCCAAAGCAGTTACTGGAATTAAATAGGAATAAATAATTGTTGTTAATAGTGTATTGTGTTCTTAAAATGTTTATGAAAATGCTTGATATGTTAGTGCAATCAAAGAAACAAGCTACTGTGGTAGCCACTGAAGTATAAAACAAGTGCTTTGGGCTCATCAAACAGAGAACAGAGAAGGGCTGGCGTGAGGTGTTGGTTGATATAGACCCAGAAGTTCCTGACCAGCTGCGATTTGTCCTGTCACCATCCCGTACCCCTGCGACGGAAATCTTTCTCCAGGTGAGGCTGTGCCTACCAGAGCTCATCCTTTCACCTTCACTGACTCTATCACGTTCATTCACTGCTGCTCAGTTCCTCTGACAGCAGGAGGAAGGCTCTCAGGCTGCAGACTCGTAAATACACCTCACCGTTTCCATTCTGAGAAACTTCCACCAATATCTAACTTTGTATGCTTGAAAATATGCACAAACACATCAAGCTTTGCAACGTCAGAGCTTAAACAGGCAAAACAATCCAGAGAACAGACAGAGGCAGCAAGGGGCAGGGAGGGTTCTGCATTGTATGTGTCACATCAGTGGCAGCAGCCTTGCCTGAGCCAGGCTCTCAGCACAATGCTGGGTGCTTCTGTGCTACACTGGCCTTTAATGGAGAGGGTCTAAGATTACTTTTTTTTCCTGAAGTTCACTGGATTCTTAAAGTTGTGAAATGAAGTAGCTGAGACTAAAACCAGCTGCAAAGTGTCACACAGAAAAAGGCCTTTTTGAAGGGTACACACAGCCAAAGAGCTGTTTTCTTTCTTTCAGTACCACAGTAATGCAGTTTCACCTGATGCAGGTATTATTACTTGTTAGAACAATTTGTATTTCAGTCAACTATAGGTTACAGAAGAGATGACTGAAATCCAGCACTCAGAAACCACTAATTGAAAATGACTGTTAGCAAAGGCTCAAGCTCTAGGTAGCATAGAACACAACCCTGCACCTCTGTGCCCCATTGAAGCACTGACAATTCCAAGACATCGGGTGTGAAGAACTCTTGTTCCGTGCTTGTTTGCTAACACAAGTGTTTTGATCTTTGAACTCTGCACTAGCCTGAGGAAACAAGAGATCATGTGGAAGTGTGTCCTGAGGCTGGTGTCATCATTCAAAGGCTTGCCACTCGGATAGAGGAGGATGGTGGGGCTGCACTGGTTGCTGACTATGGTCATGATGGAACCAAAACTGACACTTTCCGGGTAAGTCCTTTACCCTGAAATAATAAAAGGTTACAGAGTATTTTGCCTTGTCATTTGGAGCATTAGGCTCTTGTAACAAAAGTATCTTGGGTGGACATAACAGCAAAAATTGCCTTATGCTGTAATGGTAAAACTGAGTAATAAAGTCCTTAATTAATCAGTATGCGTAAGAGTTTGTCAGACAGAAAGGATTATCTAAACCCTCCCTACACTTACCGAGATCTTCCAAGTATAACCTGCTGTTCTTACTCCTCACAGGCACAACTTAGCTTTGGCTAGACCCGGCTGTGGGAGCAAGGGCTACAGCCGAGTGTGATCTTTCAACCTACTTACATTTCTCAGGGTTTCCGGGATCACAAGCTCCACGATGTGCTGACAGCCCCGGGGACTGCAGACCTGACAGCAGATGTTGATTTCAGCTATCTTCGAAAGATGGCACAGGGAAGAACAGCCACACTGGGCCCCATAAAACAGCGGGAATTTCTGAAAAACATGGGCATTGATGTCCGGCTGCAGGTACGATTTGTGTTACAGGCGCATAAACTCTCCTAATCCACATGCAACAACCTTAGCCAGCAAGAGAGCTATTATAAAACCTGATTTCAAAGGGAAGTTGTTCAAAATGACATATACAGGTGAGATCAAGGGTTGCTTCTCCTAGACGTGGGTTACTCTGGATCCTTCAAAGTAAACTTACATCCTGCGTTTAGGAGTATTTAATGCAAGACTTCACTACATACAGCAATGTATGAGTTCCATCGGGGATCTCACCACTTCCACTGGACAGTACTGCTAAGTTAGTTTAAGTGAAAGGGATGCAGCGAGGGACCACAAGTATGAGGGCATTTATAGGAAAGCAGGAAGGGCTTTAACTGACTTTCTTTTTTCAGGTGCTGTTGCAGAATTCACGTGACACAGCGACTCGGAAGCAGTTACTTCACAGCTATGATATGCTGATGAACCCCGAGAAGATGGGGGACTGTTTTAACTTTTTTGCCCTGCTGCCTCATCAGAGACTTGTACATCCCGACAAGAAACATAAACAAGAATCGAAGTCTCCCTTACCACCTGTGGCTGGATTTAGTGAACTCTTAATGAAGTAATTTCAGCTACTACAGTAGGAGCTTGCAATAGCAACTTACTGAATAAATTACACAAATAAAAAGGAATAGAGTCCTGCATTTTACGGTTTCATGTACTAAATGTTTTGCAGTAACATGATTGGTGTATAACTACCTGTGCAGTAAGGTGAGAACCAAGTATTTTACCCTTGAGCTGAAAGCATATGAAACATCACATTACTTCTCCAGACTCTTTTCTCACCCCACTTTATGCTTCAGGGCTCTGTTTTGGTAGGGAGTGTTATTTCAGAGTAAAGGTAGTGCTTGTGTTTTAATGATACTTTTGAATGGAGACAGGAACCGTGCAAGAAGAGTTATTACAGTTCAAAGCACCAGCTAACAGAATTCCCACGGCAGGGCACATCTAGTGACAAATCCAGAAACAAGGAAGTATAAATAACCATACATTCCCAAGAACATGTGATAGGAGAGTTAATTCACGTAAATAAAAAGAACAAGTCTGATAGGGAAATAAATTTTATTTTCAAGCTTATCAGAGGATATTTACAAACAATGGGATGTATAAAAATATAAAAGTACTTGACAGTGTCCTTTTGAGGCTATAAATTTTACATGAGCTTTTTTCTAGCATCATCATAGCACTATTTCTTATGAACGCAACTTAAATGGCCTAGGGGTAGGGATATTAAACACTGTAACCTACTGCTGTCAAAGGCTGCAGTAAAGGTAGAAAAAAGGGGAATAGAAAACCTCAGCTATTTTTACTATGCTGAAGAAAGTTTACTCAATGTATGTCTGATTTTCTTTTGGTTCCTTGACTTCTAGCTGCTTGCAGCTTCTATTGTCTGGCCCAGTAAGTCTACATACACATTCAGGTAATGTCCTCCAACTGCCAACAGCATTATTTATTTAATACAACTTGAAGAATAAACAGCTCATACAATATTCTAGAGCACAGCAGACTTCATGGGGAGAGACATCAGCCAGGCCTTCTACTTCATTGTTGTCCCCTCCTTCCTCTATTCCTGTTGTGCTTTTTGGAGTGACTGAACTGGCTTTACTTCCTCCCTTAGAACACCACCAAAAAAACCCCAAACCCACAGGAAAACCTGAAGTGGCAGCTCAAGCATAAATGCTGAAGTTTATACCAAACTGAAGCTGCATTATTACAGTTAGGATGGAAAACAGCAACAGTTTTACTGAAATTTGGGCACTTGCACAATGGAAGCTGGAAAAAAGCCCTGCTTCACTTGCCAAGGCAGGGTAAATGCCAGACTGCTGACTTCATGGGTGACTGCTCTGGTTCCATAGATGAAAAACAGTGCCTTGCTGCAGGATTGGTCCTGAACACCTGCCTGAACAGGATGGCATGGTTCCACTCAAGAGTTCCTCTGCTCTCACTGCCCTGAGAGCACACGATGAGGAAGGTGACCCCCAGTGTAGGAGTGGCAGTGACAGGACAGCCATCAGGCAGCTCCCCTGCACAAACCTGAGAGAAACATGTGCTAGGAGAGAGGACTCTGGTGGCTGGAAGGGCTGGTGGGCACTGCCATGCACTAGCTTCTCGTGCAAGGGTTGGTATGCCCTAACAGGGAAGCCAGAGTGCAGCCTTTACCAGCCTGGATACCTGCAGAATGTAGTGGCAGCCAGATCAAAGGCAACAGGAAAAGAAAAGGCAGGTTAAACATCCAAACCTACCTGTGGTTATGTATTCCTGCAGCTGCTGCTGATGTTTTTATCACCAGGTCACTGTCACTGCAAGGAGCTGCCAGCCCTGAAATAACCGTGCCAAACTTTATGTATATCTAACATAGAAGAAGTCTGTTCACCTGCTTCCTTACCTGAATAACAACAGTAGAAAAGATACTTATCTAGAAACACACATACAAAAAGTCTTTACAGGAGAGAGAGGAAATACCCCAAAGCCTCTCGCTGACTTTGCAGTTCAAGCCTGTATTAGCTCTTTAAAAAGTATTTAAAATCAAGCTGCAGTTGAGCAGCTTGGCAGATTAGGGATATGTGAGGCCGTTCAGCACCTTCTAGCATCACAATGCTGTTATCCCACACAGAAAGGAAGACTTCACTTTTTCCATTTCCCAAAATTAGACAAAAAAACAAAACCAAACCCAACTTTCTTCTCTTTGCATTTAGCATTCATGGCCTCAAACATCTTTGAAATACCATGAACTCTGACTGCTACGCTGTCCTCCGAGGGCATCATTTCAAAGAACACTGCTGCTTACTCTCTATTGTGCCACAAGTCCATAAATGGTTGGAAATCCACCAGCTGAGGCATCTGCATAGAAACTGCATTAGTAGTTGGTCTGGGACTCTTCATTCAGCTCAAACAACACAGTAAAGAGGACAAGGAGGGGCTGCAGGTTAAGGTCAGAAGGCAAAGCCCCTTCTATGGTCCAGCTGCCCTGTCAGATGCAACAGGTGACCTGATACCCAGTGTTGCTCCCAGGTTTTGAGCCGTTAAGACACAAGCTCACAGGCTACAAAGTGCTCCTCATGTAAGTCCCGAGAATCTTAAAAATACTAAAAAAGTATTAGAAAAAATTAAAAAATCTAATTACTCAGAACAATAGAAGGAAATTGCATATGCTCGTCCCTATTTTTCCATATCCTTCTGCTAGAAGCTGGTTTTCCACAGTGAAAAGGTAAGCTACATCAAGTCTTGTGTGCTCTCTATTACTTGGGTAATGCCTTTGGTGTGTAACAACAGCATGTGCACCAGCCTTGTGCAGCAACATACTGTTGTGGCTTACTGCTCTGTTTTAACAGACAACAGAAAGGACCAGCATAGCTTTGATTGTCGTCTCTTTGGATTGTCAGCCAGCATTTCAAGAGGAATGTGAGAAGTTAGGGGGGGGTTCTCTGAGGGTAGCTGGAAAAAGTTCAGATAGGGCAAAGACACACATATTTAACTGTCTTATCAGCAGCAAGTTATTCCTTCATCTGTGAAGCAGTATTTTACCTAAACCACCATGTTTTGCTATGAGCCAAGGTATTCTGCACTGATTTCTTTTTACAGTCTCTTTTCACCATGCAGAGCTTAGGAAATGGGAGATGTATCCAAGTAACAGAAAACAGTCCTCTATGGCCTAGTAAATAGGGATTAGAAAACCATTACAAAATTCTTATTGTGTAGGTTATGAAAAAAACCCAAAACAACAAAATCAACAAACCAAAACCAGTCCAAACCTTGAAACCACACAGACCATTCAATGTGTGCACATTACACCTCAGTAATGGCTTTGCAGACACACAACTTGGTGACATTCTACCCAGTGGGGCCTGTGCCATTGTCCAGTAACTACTCATAGTTTAAGCAGAGATGGGGAGAAGCTTGTCAGATGACAGTCTATTCCCAAGTCAATGCAGGATCCTCTGGGGCGTTGCACACTGAACAGCATACAGCATTCAGAAAGAGAAACAGTTGTGCCAAAACTTATCTTCAGTTTTTTTCAGAGTATCTTTCCTTGCTGCAATTTAGCATAATGAATAGATCAAGGGTCTTCTTCCATATCATCTGGGTTGGGAGCCATAATAAAATGCTGGGGGTACTCAAGGTTGTGCTCATAAGCATGTTCTTTCCAGCGTGCATCATCGCTCTCGTGGGTAATGTAACGCTCTCCAATGCGTGTTTCAAATTCTCTGAGGTCAAGCCAAGTCTGATAATCCTAAGGAGTAAATGAGATTTAAGGCAGCAGTGTAAGAAACAGCAGTACTACACTCCCACAGGCAAATTCTGCAGTTTGCCTCTACTTTTAGTATAATGTTAAAAAACCCAAAACAAACACCTCTCCCCAAAATACCCCAACACTGTCCACAAAGAATGGTTCAAAATTAAGTAGGCTGGTATCTAAGGTTGTAATACTGTAAATCCTCAAAACTTTTATAACAAGACAGCTATGTCAGCTTCATTATAAGATTAATTGTACACATACCCATATAAGAAACTATACTCATTCCAATATTGATTTTGTAATTGAATTTTCCCCATAACATCTTTTAGGTTATTTGGGTGCACGGATACATCATACAGTGTTGTGAAACCCACTGCCAAAGGAACCCACCCCAAAGTGGTGGACAAATTCGTGGCACACACCAGCCTGCGCCTCTCTTTCAGCACTGAACTAACAATGTTTGTCTCTAACACTCATTGCAGTGTGGCTTCATGCACGCATCACTGCCCACATTCAGGAGATGCCAAAAGAGTAAAACTCTATGTTGGTGTCAAACAAAAAGGGCATAGTGACAGTAAGATAAAGTTTCCCTTGAGGAAAGAAGCCATTAACGGATGGACAGAACACTGGAGCACATAAAATGTAAAGCTAACCCCAGAAATACGCAGCCCTCTGTGAGTGCTTCTTAACAGACTTTGATAGCAGATTTAATAAGCCTCTGAAGGATTTAATAGAAAGAAAAAGCAAACAAAAAACCCCATTATTCACCCATTATAAACATAGAAAAAGGCAGATGGGTTTACCTGTAGCCACGGGTGACTAAGGGATTTGTCAACACTGAAACGCTTTCTCATCTTCACTTGAAGCAAATTGTTTATTAAATCAATGGCTGACAAAGAACAGGGTAAAAATGATATGCTTAAATATTCACCACCTCTATCATTCACATGCTGCACTGAAAGTCAATTTTTTTTACAAGTGTTTGTACAGAATGCTTTCAATCAAACTCTTGAATTTTGTATTTAGCTTTGTTTATGTTAAATGAGGCTACCAAACAGGTACAGGGTGAACTTCCCCCTAGCTTTAATGGAAATACTAGAAGATTTACTACGCTACTTGTTAATCTTCTCCCCTCCTGATTTAACTGGTTTTCAGAAATGCCTAAATAACTTGAGCATAATCCTGTGTTCCAAAATGATGCAGCTACTTCCACTATTGGAGAACCTTCTACACCTACACGTGTTACTTGTATATACACAGCTGGCACTGGACAGCAGCAGAGACCAACCCTGTAAGTTTCTACATTGTTCAAGACCTGACATTCAGATCCAGGTTTTGTTTCACTTGCTAATGTACAAAACTAAAATTCCAGAATCAACTTAGAA